GTATTGTAAGTAAAGGATCCTCGCTTTTCCCCTTCGATTCGCCATATAAATCGAAGGGGAAAAACTTCGGTCCGTAACTTACAGTACCGACCGAGAACTCGGTTATTAAGACGTATCTATTGCATTGTCATGATATCTTTATATGCAGGAGAGGTGACTTAACAGCACAGAGGAATTGGACAGACAGTTATTTTGCACCATGAACATTATTTTCTCGCTATTACTATTACTGTGGAATGTGGATAAGACCCTCACTTCAGATGAGCAAGGTGAGAACTCAAGTTTCGTTATGTAACGTTCGTATCTACTTAATGCTACTAGGGAATAAGTAGACCTTATTCGATGGTTTAACCGAGTATAATACGAGCGGGTAAATTGCGACTTGTGCCGCATTTTTTGAGCCCCAAAGGGGCGATGAAAAGTAAAAGTAAATAACTCTCCGTTTTCCATCTCTCACCGCTCCTCTACGTTCACTAGCCGTGAACTACCCTATTCTCAACCATATTTATGGACCTGTACGTGAGTAACAATACTTAGAGTCCCGCGCTGTTACTAAATTTCGAAGGAAACAATCTCGGTGCTGAGTAAGTGGCAATGAACTCATAAATGATCAAATCAGGTAAAAGGAAGTCTATTTTTCTTGAACGAAGAGAAGATAATTCATTAGTTCTTCAGCTAAAAATTCTCTGTCTCGGATATAAACAGATATTTCGTACGATTTTGACTGGGATAGGTCTGTGCACAGTTCGGCCAATTCAATTTTTCAATTTTCTTGAAAAATGGAATAAGCAAATATTACTCAACTAAACTGTCTGTATTCATTTTCAGCTGACCAAGAAAAATATTAAATTAGAAAAAGGTTCAGTAAAAACGCTTCATTTTTCCATTTTTCTAATTTTAAGATAAATCTAAATTTTAAAAATCTTGTTTATGGCTAAAAACGATATTTTTTTCAATTTTCCTTTTTTCCGTTTTCCGAACTAATCGGAAAAAAAAACGCAAAAATGGAATATGCTCTCGGAATATACTCTCGGTTTTCGGGTGATCACCTACTCCACTGCGCCACTGATTCGTGGATCTGTTTGGATGTAATGGCGTCATTCATCACTCAATGGAGCTGGAGTAGCGGGAGACTGTACAACTCGATCAGGGCCTATAAGCGCCCTTACTCGATGTAAGCTTAATTTCGAACGACTGCGTTAGGACATAAGCTATGAATGGACTCGCATTATGTAATGCAAAAACTTCGTTCTCAGCCTTTCATAAATCATTATCCGAGTTCAGTGGCTCACAGCCACTTCGATTCGTAAATTGTTTAGACGAAATAGAAAGTATGTTTTGTGTTTGTGTGTGTGTGTGTGTGTGTGTGTGTTTAAACTCGTGGATACGCGAAGCGTAGAAAAGTGTTTGTTGCGGGGACTTCGATATGCAAATGTGTCACTGACTCACTGACTCACTGACTCACTGACTCACTGACTCACTCACTCACTCATTCACTCAGGTGTAGACACTGTTCGTAATTAGTCGGCCCGAACGAGAGCGCCCAGCCCGACGCCATATTGGAATAGTAACCGTGCTGTCAGTGCGAGCTTATTACTCAAGGCGTGCATCGTGCCAGCCCGGCCGCATATTGATGATTTTGTAGCTTTTACACGACCATTAACGTTAGGTCTTTCGCTAAATTGAAGTGGAGTTGACTTCGAATGTTCGAATTAGTACTATGGCCAACTTGAAAGCTGAGTTTCATGAGCATTTGAGTTGTCCAGGCGTTCAAAATGACCAGGAGATGTGCATTTGTTTGCTGGAAAGTGACCTGAAAATGATTAAATCTCATGCTAATGTGGTAAGCTTTGATGAGAATGTGTCTTACTCCTCGACCTTAATGAACTTATATGAGCGAAACGAACAACTTTCAATGAACGAAACAGCTATTGAAAACAAGACAAACATCGGCACCATTGTATAATATTGTAATTTCATTTTTATAATTAACATGTAGTAACATCTAAACCTGAGGACAGCCGAAATATTGTTTTAACTCTACGACGTTGTGTCAGCCTTGCAGTAGTGACGTATTATCGTTTTACTTTCCAAGTTTGGCTGATTAGATCTCCTGTGAGATCTAACGTTCAATCAAGCAGGACCTTCGTTCACAGCTTTGCAGTTTATAACACTTAATTATAGTTTTAAATATTGAGTTGTCAACGTTCAACCGACATCTAGTTAAGTTTAGATTAAAGTTGTGTTCTATATACTTGTCTTGTGTATTTTAGTACATTAATCTGAACTCTGAGTTGGATGTGAAATGCACATAAACTTAGCCAAAAAAGTCCCAAATACTTGATTTTGATAAGTTTCAATGATTTTTACCCTGTCTTTTGTTTACAATTTTGCTTCTTGATTGAAAAGATAACAAAGAGAAAGAAACCCCCTGTGAGCTTGTTGGAACGCATATTTATGGTCGACAGATTTTTTGGATCAACACTGAAAATGCTTGCAGAAGATCGAGGCTACTTATTTTTATGTTATTTACCTGCAATTTATATAGAGACAAGCGGCCCCCCATTGGGAAAGAAGTGCTGTCTCAAAAGAAACCTTACCTATAGCCTTGAGTGAAATGCAATGAAAAAGGTGTGTAAGTTTGTACGACTTGAATACATGCAAATTTTCCCACCAGGCAGACAAAGAGTACCTTATGAATTTTTCGGTAGAGATGTCCTCTGTGACCCAAGAACCCTTAGCCTTTACCACTCAATGTTCAGCTGCAAGTTTGCCACCCAAGCTATTGTGAAAGTATGTGTTTGTAATATGTTTGCAACAAAAGCCAGCGAAAAAAGCCTACGCTATGTGAGATAAGTGCACCTTGCGTGGTACGTTCCCGGCTTGTTTTAACAGCCTTCAACAACACGCCAATAATTGCAAGTTCACCAACATGTTTCATCTCCAGATTACGTAAACCACGAGTTTGGCCATAGGTCTCCTCTGATTGAAGTATCTGAGCCGAGCCGTAACACACACGCTTTATATATTCAAACGAAATAATTATAGTCTAATGCAGCAAAAAACTCTAAAATTGCACAGTTTATTTATAACAGTTTTGTTTAGATTTGACCATTCGTTCTCTTGTCAAATGAATAATTTTGGTGTTTTGTTGATGTGTTTTTCTTCACAGGGCTGAACTTGAATGTGTGCACGTGACGTCATCAAATTCTCAAATCCAAAACTAAAGAGCCCCTAAAGGTTTTATCCTCATCAGGCATAAGAGGTAGTAAATTTATATCTGTTTACAACTTCCCAGCCCAATAGCGTCCTCCGTTTGGAAACCAGCGCATTTTGAATTTCGGAGTTATGGCGGTGCGTGACATGAAGCTAAGACCGCGTTTGTCGAAAAATATACACTTATCTTGTGATTTTTAGCCATTTTAGGAGTTAATGTATTAGGAAAAATGCTTTTGTAAATGTTTTTTGGTTCGGTTCAGATAATCAGTAGTCTAGATAGCCAAAGTAAGTTCCAGATGTTTACACTATTTTCCGGCCGCCATACTGGAGGACTAAGGAGGTCCTCCTACATGGCGACTCCATACTAGGCTCTATAATTTTGCGCGGAACATTTCGACGAATATCTCAACTTTGGAACAACGCACACACCTCAAACTTGGAGAACTGTCTGCTTCACTTATTGTCTATGATATCACAATTTCTTGACTTTATCCACTCAATGGATTTTGATTTTAGTTTTTATTGCGTGACAATGCACACACTCTATTTAACAATTATTCCATGAGACCGCGTTGGATATGAAGTGATTAATAACCAACGAGCGCGTAGCGCGAGTTGGTTATGATCACTTCATATCCAACAAGGTCGAATGGAATAATTGTTTTAGTATATTCT